TATAACAATTCCATCTTTTAAACTTAATTTCATACCTAAGATCGGAGTATCGATTTACATTATTGCGTCTATATAATAGGTGCATGCATGTATTTTGATCAGCGATATCTATTCGCGAAAATGATAAAGTAATGCGACATATCCAATGTATGCAACGGTCTTCACCCTTCACCCTCTGTTCCATTTAGTATTATTGAGTTATTCAGTACATTGAGACGCTAATCTTGGAACGCTTAGGGTTGCATTCTCGACATTCATTAGTTTTGTCGTTTGATTTGAAGAAATCTGCTACCGAAGACACATCGCACAATACTTTTAGAAGGTTATGGTGATGCTGCAAAATAATTATTTTAATAAATCCATTTAAAGTTATTCAAAGCAAGTATAGAAAAGATTCAATTCGACAACTTTAACCGACGCTAAAGTCTATTTCATATCTCTGACTGTTTTGTAAACAATTCTCCGCCGATTAATCACTTAACACTCGAGTAATTGAAAATAGCCTGGAGACGTATGCTCTGCTTGTGACTTACTATAAATAAAACTCGAAAATAGTCTTGGAAATGCAAACAATTTGCCTTGTTAAAAAAGAAAAAGAAGAAGAAGAACTATCCGCCTGAGTAGCCGAAGGCGAGGCATCTCGACTAGCAAGTCAATGGTCGTGGGTTCGAATCTCAAGTGCGGTAGGGTTTTTAATAAAAGCCGATAGCCTTAGATGCTAGTGCTTTTAAGAGTTTAGTCTTAGAATTTATTTCTCTGGCGAAATTAATAATAATAATAATAATAATAATAATAATAAAAAAGAAGAAGAAACGGTAAAAATATTATTGATGAGATTCGTAACATTGATGAAACGTTAAAATACATTTGAATCGTATATTGAGCGTTATCTTTAACTATGAGTAACGAACAATAATAATAACGAATATCAAGAGTTAATTATTTGCTTAATCTTGTTATTGCGTTCTTAACGAAATTCGTCAGTAATCTTCCTTTCGATATAATTTCAAGCACGTAATCAAGTCTTTTGCAGCTACTTACTGACATTTTAATGGTAGAGAATTCATTGAATGTGCCAATAATTAGTGATATTTTCAACTTTAAAATATTTTCGAAAAATATCATAGAACTTTTAATCTCTACAGATTTAAACATTTTTTTTTTTATTTTTTTTATTTGCTTCTTTTCATTTATTTAAATTGCTTCTGCTTTCTGTCAATAATCAAATATTTAGATTTCAGATATAATCAAGTATTAAACTATTCATAATGAAAATGTCAGCATATTTTTCATCTTTTTCTTTTTTTTTTTTTGTGAAAAAAGTTGAGAGAAGGTTTCGGTTCTTCTGTTTATACCCTACATAACTTGTGGTACAGAGTATATTAACTTAGTGCGGTCGTATGTAACACGCAGAAGGGCCCACCTTTTATTAAACCGATCGATTCAGAATCATTATCTCAATTGATCTAAGTCTGCCTGTCCGTCTGTCGGTTTGATGTCTGCGCATTTTAATTTGTGTTCAAGCTACAAGTTGTAATTTTTGAGATATTTGGAGGAAATATAGTATAGTGACGTGTGTTGGCCTAAAAACGAACGCTATCGAAAATAGTTCGCATCGGTCCATTGTTTCGATTACTCCCCACGCATATAACGCCCCGTTCTAAAAAGTCGATATTTGGAAAATAATTGTAATTTTTGAAAATTTCTCAGCAAAAGTGGCTAAATGGTAGCGTTTGGCCACTCTAAATTGATATGGAAACTTTGGACCGGCTGGGGCAATTTTTGAACTCCCTCATATAACAAAAACTGAAGCTCACACAGCAAAGAGGTATAATTTTAAAGGCATCGTGGTGAAAACTATAGCAATTTAACACCAAGAAATTCAATGTACCAAATTTGGACTCTGTCAACCTATTTTTTGGATATAACGATTTTCACGAAAGTTGACCCATTATAGAGCAGAAAAGTTCAAGTTGTAATAAGTAGTGATGAAAATTGACCCATAATGTTATAGTAATTTCGTACAAAAATGAACTCTACAAATTTTGAACCACCTACGTCTATTTTTGAGTCCTGCCATATGTAAAGATTACACTTTTACTACACTAGGCCCCATTAATACGCGCTTGAACAATTTGCCTTTATGTAGAAAAAACATATAATTTTTGTGTTCTAGAATAAAAATAAGAATTGCGTTAGACAATGTGGTGCAGAATGGTGTAATGTTTGGCGTCGCCCAGCTTTAATGTTCTTATTTGTTTTTTAGTATAAAAATTTACTAAAATAATGTTTGTTGATGGAGATTGAGCGAGAAATTTTTTTTAACGGGTGGCTGTGAGGATGTTTGCAATGAGCGATTACATGCTGCAATAATTTGCCCTCCCAATCCTCTAAATGGTTGCATTCATTCGATGCCGTTTAGGCACTGATTTACCCTTGACCGTTTTAAATACCTTCAGCATATCCCATGGGTGAACTACTTTAAAAATAAATCATCTTTGACTTATGCATTTTTTTATTGAAATCTAATCGTACGATGACGCGCTGTGGCTAATTGTAAGACATTCTTGCCATGACCGATTGCCATTTGTTTTGCTCTACACTCTTAGTCGATTAAAGCTGTGTTGAAAAGAGGTCTGACGACTCAGATAATCTAGATGGATAAGGGTTTTACCAGAAGCATTGCAAAACCTTATCGAACACAGTGGTATATATTTGGTTTAATAAAGTTTATACAAAATATAAAAAATTTTTTTTTTTTTAATTTCAATGAAAAATTAAACGCCACGAAGTTTTTCCTGTGCATAATAATTTCCTTTCTTTTGTTTTTTTTAAGGCATTAATGTCAAGTTGTCGCTTAACTAAATCCCATTAAATCTTCAGGTTTAGCTGTCTAATTCGAAGCGATTTATAAGAACAGCAATTGAGAGAAAACGTAATTTTGCTTTGTTATTATATTTTTAGTTAGTTATGTTCGCATTAATGAATTAAATAATGTGATCGTGTATATAAAAAAGAAAATGGAAATGAAAAAGGAAAAGGAAAAAATCGCTCGACTCTCTAAACTTAAATGACAACAAAATCCATCGTTTTCGTACACATTTTCCAATTCTACTCTTGTTCTTGTTTTTGTTTTTACTAAAATTTCCACACTAATGAGCAGAACTGTTGGTTATTGCTGCTGCCACCGTCAAATGCACAATCTACGTTTTGAAGGTAAGTGTAAGTGTTCACTTGCAACGAAGTAATGTTTTGCTTTTCTTTTCTTTTCTTTTCTATTTTTTTTATTTTTTTTTCGCTGTTTGTTTTCTCTGGATTGTTAATAAGAGTAAAACGCCTGTTTATTTAACTAGTGCTGAATAGTGTAGTGTGTGCTGTTGTTGTAAAAAAGCCTGACAGCAGCTCAAACCACCGACTTATAGAGAGAAATGGATAGACAAACAAAACACAATCATAGATACCGAGAGAATATAGTAGCACTGTAAGTCGAACGGACAGCCAGGCAGTCGGTCGCCGACAAGCATATGATTGTGTGGGCGGCGTATTAGCTTCAATCAAGAAATAAATAGAAAAACCATCACATACAGAACAACAACATATATCTACGCCAACCAAACTTTTGCAATTGTTATTAGTATTAGAAGGTGGTTGCATGTATATTGATAGTCTTTTCACTTGCAAAAGGGATTTATTGAGAAAAATTAGGTAGAAAGTGTGTTAATCCACTTATTTTCCATCATTTTCTGCAACATTTTACCGAATTTCTGGCAACATGGCGATATCGTGTCGAAGGAACTTGTATTGGTTAAGCAGCGATCCAATCATCGATCCGTTTTAGCATTTATTCACCCTTGCGAAGCTACATGACAGCCAAGCCATGCTGCATCGATTTGAACAAGTGCTAAGCAGAAGACGCCATATCTGGTGCGTACTCTAGGCGTGACAGAACTTCCCTTTCGAACTGCCACAGGGTATATTTGACAACTCTTGCAGCAAGTGGCCAAACTTGGTGGGCTTCAGCACAGCAGATTTCTTCAAATCAAGCAACAAAAGTAATTTTGAACGCTCCACGCGATTAGCGTCGGCACGCGATGAATAACTCAATAACATTAAATGGAAAATTGTCATTTCGTGTAGGGAAAGGTCAAAACTATCGAATTCAATCGTTATGTACAGTGGTATTTCCCATTTCCTTAGCATTTTTACCTGTGCAAGTCGCCTATCAAAATACATGCAAGCAACTAATAGTACTGAATATGATGGTATAAATATCATGTCACTGCATTTTGAAAAGCTTTAATCAATGCATTAGAGCTGATGTCTGTCTGCGCAGCAGAGTTTTGGAGAGCAATTATTGTTTAGCCACATGTGCATCTATAGGTACGTAAGTATAATTTCCTTGCAGTCTTTTCATGGGAATATACAAACACTTCGACGTCATTTAAAAAATTTCATGGGTATGGTATGTTATGTTTTCGTGAGCCTAGTTATATACAAAAATCAACACACAGAATTGTGAGAGTTAAAAAATTCGGCTCGAAGCCTACATATAGTTGGTTCGTTTTCGTACACTCACCGCTCTTATGCATTAGAGAATAAAGTTGGCAAGTTGGTAAGTAAGTAAAATCAATTGTTCGAAGACGAAAAAATCACAATTTCTTGTAAATTTTAACTCAATTTCTTATATGTGAATTCCATTGATTTTCTTAAGCAAGCAAATGCAAGTGTCTCTCGTTTAACAAATGAAGCAACCTGTGAGAAGTAGCTGACGAGTGGTCCGATCGGAACTATTTCTAATAGTGTTCGCCTTGGGTCGACCCCATTTAGGTTTAATAAATTTCATCAAAATATCCCAAAAAATGCGCTATTTGTGGCACATGGTACATTAAGTTTGTGCGGAAGCAATACAACACCCAAAAAGCCTTAAAAAAGATGCGCGTATTATTATACTGATCAACTTAGAAAATGATTCCGAATCCGATTGTCTGCCCGTCTCATACCTTTCCATGTATTTTCGTCGATAGCTAAATTTTTACGGCCTGGACACATGTTCACAATAGACTTTACACAGGCGGACATGCCTGATCAAGAATATATATACCCAGCGTGGGGTCTCTCAAACTTCCATCTCTGCATGCAAATGTTTTGATAAAATAAATACAAGCCTCGTTCTTCGGCAAGGCGTAAAAAAACGCTGTGTTGTTAAAAATTACCGAAAAGCGGACAGGACTTACCGGATTTTTTTGTGACTCAACAGCGTACTAAACGCGCAATTGTTAATTTTACACAACCAACAATAAAATTAATTAATAGAAATATATTTTCAACATTTGGCGTTTTAAGGGGGGCAAGTGAGCTCAGAAGTGTACTTGACTAGAGATACGCCTAAGAAAGTGTATTTAAGATCTATTACAGTATAAAATAAAAGTTCGAATGGGAAGTTCTAGTAACATTCAGTCAATCTTTATAGAGATTATATGCATTTGTTTGTGCAAACATGAAATACATGAACAAACGAGCGACAGCTATAATAGTATATCGTATGCATTGAATTTTGTTTTGTTTTTTTTTTTTTTTTTTTTTTTTGCTCGCTTGCTTGCTTGGTTGCTTGCTTGCTTGCTTTTACTTCTGTGCAAACAGACAAGCAATAGATATATGTGCATATGTTTCATGCAATACAGCCTGATTGGATATACATATTACATAATCCAAACCCATTCGAACTAATACTGATGTCATAGAGGCATAGAATCAAGTCAACTGCTACAGTGCACAAGCATTGCTAACAGCCCCATAATAGCAAATTAATGGTTGACTTGGTGACATTTTAAGGACACGTAGGCTTAAAACATGAACATTACCAAAGAGCATAAGAAAGATTGCTTGTCGATGTATGTAAATGAATTTTAAATCTTTTTTTATTTTTTCATTTTCTCTTTATATACATCAGAGTGTTTTGTAATTGACAGAAATATTTATTTTCTATAAACGTTTCTATTAACAGACACATAACAGCAGCGCTTATGCCAACATCAACAAATAAATCGTTTAAAATATTCTAACATCAATAAAATGTACAGTTAAGTGTATATTTACGTATAAGCAGTGTCTATATACACAAATATACAATAAAACACGACACTAGAAGCCAACATTTATTCAGTTACATGCAATTTATGTATAAGCCGCCTTATAGAGCATAGTTTTGAATACACATACATATACTAGTTTTGTTACTCTATGCGTAATATTTAATTACATCTGGCGTAAGCTCTATGAAGTGCATGCATCTCCTTGCGGTCAACGGTAGATCCGAAATTTTCGTAGATAAGAATCGTTTCAAAAATGCAAAAACTCTTGTCGATGCAACTCTTAATAGCTTTTTCTCCGAAACCGGTAGGAGGTATTTTTGCCTTTTCAAAACAAAAAAAAAAAAAAACGCAAAATCAATTTTCATCACATTCTCAATATAATTAAAATTCGTGAACAGTCTGAACCGCAATGATCACTTTCGTCAACTATCGCCAGAGATTTCACCTTTAATTTAATACAAAATACCGTACATGGTTGACATGGTAGACATGGTGCCGTTCTCCTGAAGTTTCATTATAGAAGCATGTAAGGACCACCTATGTCTCTGCCTTCGATTTTGTTTTCGATAATCAGGCATATACATAGAAAAACTGTACCCATCATCCAGGGACAAATCAATGCGTTCACGATTAATGTTCGTTTCACGCACATTTTCTATAGGAACTAGACACTTACAGAACTTGTTGTTGCAAAGCAACACTTCAATTCTATTTATTGTATTGTTATTAAACTTTCAAGTTCTTCGGTGATAGATATATGTCGAAATGTTACCATTTAAATTATGTATAATAAGCAAATCAATCAAAGAAAGAAAAAAAAAAAAAAAGGTGAAAGGCATACGAGAGAGCTGCTCTTCTAATTCTGGCGAAGAATATTGGTTTTATCAATGAATGCAATCAATTGAAGATACATTTATGCAACACAGCTGTGTCTTGCGTTGAAATTACAACGACAAGAAGCCAAGTTTTGTGTTAAAATACGGCCAACGTTGTTCAGTGTCAATATAAACATTTCGAAAAGCATTCATTGTTTAATGTCACTTGTTGTTATGCTTAAATGTTGTATATTCTGAACAACTTACAGCGATGAAACAACAACGATAATAGCAACATTAACTGAACATAAACTATTTGCAAATTTGTTGCTTTATTGCTGTAAATTTTAAGTTCTCCCTTGAAACGTTTGCTTTTAGCGAATCGTTTTTTGTGCCCGATCGCTTGGCAAAGCAACAACAAGTGTATAACTGTTGCATGGCTCACACAATGTCTAAAGTAAAATCAGACTTAACTTTAGCATTAGAGCAGCAAAATAATTGAATTACACGGTTTTGGTTTTGTACGATTTGTTTTTCTTATTTTTTTTTTTTTTTTTTTTTTTTTTATAAAAAAAAATCTCCTGCTCTATCCAACTGCGATTAACGAAGTGGAAAATGAAGCTGACATATTAATAAATATGATGGAGAAACGTGAGAAAGATTTATGTACAAACGTGAATCGCTAAAGAAAGCCAAAATTTTAATTCTCAAAACTTTGAAGCAAAAAAAAAAAAAACAAACAAAAAGGCAATGTTTTGGATTACGATAAGATAGATGGATGTGAATAGCGGTTCTGTAAAAACCTCAAGCGCGTATATCGAGTATATTTTAAATGAAAATTATTTCAAATTTGTAGATTGGTGAAGGTTGAGGACATGTTCTTGTTACATGTGCATGTTACGTAACTATCTCAGCAGAATGACAATCATCGTTCGTGCACATCGAAATCACTGCAATGTTGACTGCAGCTGTCAAGAAAAGCACTGTAAGAACTATACGTTCACAATAATTACCCAGTTATCAGAAATTTAGCGTCATTTCATGTCACTGAATCAACATTCTCCACTCAAAAGCAAGACGTTGTTATAAAACTTATTGAGGAAAATGCATTTTCGAATATGAGATAAGAGAATTACAACAGAACTAGTTGAACCTTAGTGCAGACATTTGACTTTTGTAGGTGGAACTGCAAGGTGATCGGCTTGTTTCGGGCCGATGTAGTGCATCACAAGTATTTTTTTCGGGGATATACTTTCGCTTGACATATTCCTTATTCTTATCTACTTAAGACTCTCTTTATTCTCTTCGATTTATACGGAGGAGAAAGAGTTATGTATTACTGTTGTAAGCTTGATAGAGGAAAACACCAATTTTCGATGCATCAATGCGTTGAAGCATTTCGAATGCCACGCATAATGGAGTAAGCCTTGACAGACGAATCGGATTTGTTGCCCGAAGTAGAGAAGGGGATCCCACGTTGATATGTTATCTAGTCATGAATATCAGCCCTTTTGAAACAGGTCAAGCAAATATAATGCCGTAGATCGTCTGCTTAATTTAAGTAATTTTCAATATACTGAAGAACTCCCGTATACTGTAAATTCTATCAACATTATTTCAGTCTTCCGAAAAGTATATTTCATCAGTTTTGGAGTTACGTTTAGCTCCCAATACGTTAGTGTCTATCTATCTTTTTCAAATCTTAGTGTTAATGGGAAATCTGCAAGCTATCGACAGCACGGGCAAGTTTTAACGCTTGGATCCCAATTCTTCCTTCATAGTCAAAATACCCTTTTGCTAGTGACTATGTTCAAGCAATGAAAGAAATTTTTCAGGAGACATAGACTTTGGACAATATTGATATAAGTAGCAAATGCTCAGTAGGCAAAGGCGCAACACTTCCGATTGACCACACACGCACTATAATGCGCACATCACTTCAACTATCTCCTTTTCTTTCCATTGGTTTTTTCCAACTATAGGTGATCAACTTTATGAGAGCTAAGCTAGATGAAGGGCACAAAATTCTCTTTGAGAAGAATATTCACTGGTATGTGTGGAATTATTATAGGATTCGATCTATAAAAATCCTGTGTATTGAAATCTATATCGGCTGTGCCTCCTCAGTAGCGCTACGTATTTGCTGTTTTGAAAACAAGAATCATTTTAATTAAGGTTGAGTCATCTAAGTCGAAGGCCCGTTCCTTTGCTTTATGGAAATTAACATAATCGTATTACTATTTATTTAAATATATATTTTTTTTAATACACATATAATCTTGGCTCCGTGTGTGGTATTTACAAAACTTCAAAATGATTTATAAGCTTTTTCCAATATTTATTTATTTTTTTTTTATATCAAAACCTTTTCATGGTTAAAGGTATTATCGATATTCTATAGCTTATACAAAAGAAAATATATTTATATATGTTGTACACGAGTATATAAAGGTATACAGGTAAACACCAATGTTTGCTGTTTGCTTTTTGACAAATCGCAAAATTAATTGCGAAACACTTTCAATTTCGACAGCGACAAAAAAAAAAAAAAAAAAGAAAAAAAGGAACAAGAGACACCCAGGAAAAAAAATTAGGCGTCACACTGAGAATAAATCTGTTATATCAAACGATTAGTATTGATTTCTTACGTCACTCGTCCCTATAACAAATTAAAATTATATATAAAAATGGGAAGCTTTGTTACTTTTTATATCCACCACACCATTTCATATTATATTCACCACACATCAGATGCTTTAAATGAATTATTAATTTCAATATTTTATTTTGAAACTTAAAACTTTCCCTCCACTCATGTCAGGTTAAGATACGAAATCAGATATTCTTTCAGGTATTCTTTATGCTTTAGGCATCTCTCCGTTATGTGCCTACATAACATAGCGTAAGGCAATGTATTTGCTTATGGATATATAATCAGATGAGTACACTATATGCTGTCAAAATGCTTTACATTAACACAAACAGATTTCGTACAATTAAATGCCTTTTAAAGATAAGTAACGGTAGCGATTTAGCTTTGCTATGCCTCTCCAAGTAAGATGCTCTCAGCAGTTGAAGACATTGAAATGCCAAACTTAACCTTGACTAACCTTGATGTCTGACACTACCGCTCAAGTATAGC